GTCTTGGTGGTCTCATGACTAAGAAGGCTTTGTGTATGTCTGGGACGAGCCCCGAAAAGCATCTTAAGCAGCTACACAATTCGACGATTGCAATCGCGTTTCTCGGCACACCTCATAGGGGATTATGGATGGCAGCGTATGCAGAAGCGGTTGTAAGGTTCTTGAAGCACGTCCGAAAACAAATGAGCCAGGACATTGTAGAGACTTTGAAGCAGACTTCTAGTATTCTGGATGATGTCGAGAACGCTCTCGACAGATGGGTTCGGAGTAGGGCCGCCGACATCGACATTACATGTTTCTATGAGGAGTTAGAGTTACCGATCGTGGGTGTGGTGAGTATTGAATCCTTCCCGTCTATGGAACATATGAGTTCAGATAGGTCGTAGACACCGGTTCTAATATCTCTAAGCATTGACGCCTTTTATAGATTTACCTAGAGTTCTAATTGATCTCTAGGTTGTGGACAAAAATTCTGCCAAGCTCGGTGGTTCTAGCAGGATCGGCATCCACGCAAATCACATGGTACGTAGTCCTAACTAAGAGTTCGAATTTGGAGTCCAAAGGACATGATCAAATACGCCAGCCCTGACGACGTCGGCTACAAGCGAGTAAGGCAAGAAATTGTAAGATGGCTAGGTTAGAACCGTTCGCCTGCTACGCAACGTACTCGACTGATGGGATGACTATGTAGCTGGATTGCAGCCAGAGCTTAATGACTACCAAAAAGTTTCGCAAGGACCTTAATAACTTATTGAAACATTTCTAATAACTGAGAATAATGACTAGAGTGCTTGGAGTCTCTATGGTTCCCAGGAATGCTAGATAGGCTACGTGATTTAACCCCCCAATAGACGAGACATGCAATTGGAATTTTCAACACCCCAACTACCTTAACTAGCTTGATCAAGCTCCCGTATTGTTATGGATTAAAGGAAACGCTGGGTCAGGCAAATCAACACTGATAAAGCATTTGTTGCAAGGGCTTTCTACCAAAAAAAGCTCCATCGTCGTATTATTCTTCTTCAAGAAAGAAGATGCAAAGAACAACGCTTGGATTCTTTCAGTCAATTCATTATTAACTCCTCAAGAGGATGCCTAACGCTGTGTCCAGTTTGACGAAAGCGTTCCTTGAAAATAAGAACGGAAAGCATCGATCAGGGGCATATGAAGACTTCCATGAGCAGGCGCCTAACGACATGCCTGAACTGACAACTTACCGAATCCAGACAGAGCCTGATTGGTTAGAAACGGAGCTCCGAGTGTTAGAACTCGTGAGGATTAAATTGAAGAGAATCTAGCTACTTCTGTAGGGGGGAGGGATCCCCCCTGAAGCACCCCTGAACTAGGCCCTATTTGGCGTCTGACACCGAGACATTCTGTCGATATCACTTCGGGAATGTGTTAAACGCCATTCAATACGAATCTTAGTTGATGCATTGGATGGGTGCTTCAACGAAGAGGAGGTTATCAGCCTAATTAATTAGGCCCAAGATTTAGCCACGAAACTGCGTCGATCCTGTCACTCCTTTGGAATATGCTTCTCACGTCGAGAATACCCGATCCTGTCTTTAGATGAGGGCCTTCGAATTTCTGTCGACTCAGGAAATAAGGACGGTATCGGTACCTTCGTCTGCCACGGACTTCAACGTGAGGAGTTGAGCGAGCATGCAACGGCTTTGCAAAAAGACTTTGAGAGCAGGGCTTCTGGGAACTTTCAATGAGCTGTATTGGTACTTAAAAATGTGCGTGGTTTGTCACGACGAGGCTTTCGTCTTCAGGACATCCAGTCCGAAGTCAGACGAATTCCAAAAGATATCTCGGACCTCTACTATAAACTTTTAAAAAGCATCAAAGAAGGACCACCCGAGGAACGGAGACGCTCTGTAAGGCTGTTGCAGTGGGTGTGCTTTGGATTCGAATCTCTGACTTTAATACAACTCAGGGACGCATTAGCGATCGACCTGAGGGTTTATTACGATTCGCTGGCGGAGTCACTCAGACTGCGATGTTACAGATACTGTAGGTCGGATGCAACGTTGGCTGATTGACCTCTCGCGAGGCCTCGCTGAGCTGCGGGAACATGCTGGCCAGATGGTGGTACAATTCAATCACCAAACGGTCTACGGTTTTCTTAGGGACAAAGGATTCCAAATCATAGAAGAGCCTTCCCGATTAGACATGAGCAGTTTGAGTCGAGTCTACCATGAGTTGGCCCGATGCTGCATCTTGTACTTTGCTACGAAAGAAATCCTATGGGCTACAGGACGGGATATTCCCAGTCTTAATAATTTCTTCAAAGGAAGGACAGATCTAGTTGACGATGCGAGCGAAGATATGCAAGTCGAGTTTGACGAAATTGAAATCAAAAGCGGAACGGAACACTCCGTAAGCACCGCATTGTCCTTGGCTCCGACTCTAGCGGGTTCCATAAGTGAATCTGCACTGTCGGGGGATCCGAATGACGTAGAAATAATGATTAAGAGTTACCCTTTCATATCATACTCAACCGAATATTGGTTAGATTATGCTGAACTAGCGGAAAGGAACGGCATCTCGCAGGAGAATCTGCTAAAATACTTTCGTTGGCCTTCGGATCAGATTCTGCGCCACTGGATAAGAATGCGGCAGCACGTCTTCTCTGATCGTTCAGAAGCCGGACTAACGCTAATGCATATTGCGGCTAAACGTGGGCTTTTAAGTCTTTGTCGAGCAATAGCGGAGAAAGCAGAAACCAAAAAAGATGTGGACAAGCCCGATGACAATGGATGGACACTGCTGATGCATGCTGCCGCCTGCCAAAGCAGAGAGGCCATTGTGGAGTTCTTACTCAACCAGGGTGCGGATCCCAACACCAAAGATGGAGAGTGGGAAACGCCTCTTTTTAAGGTAACATCGCGAGGAGGTGAAGCCACTACAAGGTTGCTACTTGAACATGATGCCGATCCGAATTTGGCGACATGGTCCAATGACACCGCTGTCAATAGCTGTCTTTTGGGAGCATGATGGCGTGCCGGTACTCCTCCTTAAGCAAGGTGCAGATCCCAATATCCTAGACGATGATGGCGAAACACCGCTGCTGCACGCAGCGCGAGGCAGGTCCTTCACGATTGCTCGCCAGCTCTTAAAATTCATAACAGATCCGAACGGCGACCCACCTGCTTCTGAGACCCCACTTATCGTTGCGGTGAAACGGAAAGATCAACCTTTGATTGCCCTGCTCTTGAAGAAAGGCGCAGATCCGGATCGAAGGGACGCCCAAGGCAGAACACCATTAGATTATGCTGTTCGACATGATTTCAGGGGTGCTGTGCAGATGCTGCTCGGGTACGGGGCGAACCCAGGTTGTACCGACAAGTTGGGCCAAACCCCTCTTTTTCATGCAGCATCGTTTGGGCGTGTAGAGATAGCGCAGATCCTGCTTGCTGCAAAGGCTTCCCCAACTTTGGGTAGCTCTGATGGTAAGACACCATTGGAGCGGGCAGAGACTGCTGCAGAGGGCCTGAAGAAGGTGATAAGTGCGGACGAAAGCGCCCAGAGAGCAAGAATTCGCAAAACAATTTCGGTTTTAAAGGATCCTTCCAGAAAAACATATCAAGAAGACGACTTAGAACAGCTAAACTAGCTGTCCCAGGCGATCGAGACAGTTTACCAATCTTTGGAAAAGTGGAAATGGATCAGATCACCTTGCTTGGCCTAGCACAGGGTCAGCCAGAATCAGCCGAGCAAAGGGCACATCTTGAAGCTACGTGGGAGATGAACATTGAAGATTTGCATCTCACTATTTCGCATGAAAATAGCCCAAAGGAAGAGTGAATTTCACAGTTTATAGGTCTCCATCCACGCCAGCCATACTTTCTACAGGTCTTAAGTAAGTTACCAGGCCAGGATTTCCTTCAAAAGGTGTTTGAGCCTTGCTGGCCTTCCCGGTTGCTTGAATGGTCATGGTCAAGCAATGGGGAACGGACTGAGTGTATTCTCAAATGTGGCTTATGAGTTCAGAAAAAGGTCAAATGTGTGAAACTTATTGTAGCTGCAGCGCGCATGCATGCTCAAAAGGATGACTCACGATAATATTTCCCATTCGTGGAAACCATCCTGGCGCTTAAAGAATTACGCAACCAAGACGAAGTGTTGAACGCCAATTGGCGCCAAAAGGACCGGTCCTATTGGCAGCGCCAATTAGGACAATATATAGCCTCAAATTCCGGTCGACATGACCTAACTTTGATATAGTAGTAACCGACGCCAGGCCGACAGTAGCCGACAGTAACCGCCACTTGGTCGACACTAGCGGCTGAATTCGCTTTGAATGAGTGCCGATCCCAATCGTTAGAGGTTTATTGGCGACTTTGTATATATAGTCATCCTTCATAGTTCAATCTACCCACGAGGTCGTTGTTTCTGATTGGGTAATTCCGTCCAACAGGCAGTGAGAAGATACGGTTGCACTTGCAAATGGTAAAAATGCGAAAAATGCGGAATCTCTAACAGCTATCGAAGTACTAACGGACAGCGATACCTCATAGAAAGTAAGGCGGTGGATCAAAGATACGGTGGTGAAGATAATGCCCATTGCTACGCTAGATGCCTTTAGCGTGCTCAGAGGTACCACGGCACTTTTATAAACGCTCCAGCATTTGCCGCTGGAAAAGCTGCTAGTGCATACGCGGTTGACGTTGGCTGTTTAGCCTATTGGACAGTTACGACCCAATCACGCACTTGACTTAAATCTAAGGAACCGTTAGCCTGGTGTCATATAAAGATTCCGAAGACTACTAAAAACAATGTTAGATAGGAAACTAATCGATTAATAGATTGTTTTAAGAAAAGTGGCTAGGACTGCCTTCAAGATATCTGTCGTAATTCGTTCTAAAGATGCCTTTTCAAAAGCTTAAAAGCAGATGCCAATACAAGTTTTAAGTCTCTAAAACTGCAAAAAAATCTCTCTGGCAGGTCAGGGCAGATTAAGAGAAAAGATTTACATCTACTCAAAAATTAAGGGGTCTTGCCGCGATTCGAACGCGGGGCCTCTGTCGAGCATGTAAGTGTGACGTTCAGTTTGTAAGTCGGTACCAAACTTACCTCGCATTTAACTCAGGTTCACCCTAAGCTGTGAAATTTATTAATGGTACTGTCATTTACAGTAATAATGATTAACCTACCGAGAATCATACCACTAGACCACAAGACCGTTTTATGCTGATTGGACAGCGGAAATTATAATTATTTAATATATCAACACGAAAGCTTCCGAGATGTGTGTCTCGCTTGTGCCCCAAGAACAACAAGCCACCACTGCCAGCTGCCTAACGTTGCTCTATTCCTCCACCTTACTCTTTATAATTCATTTCAATCCCATTTAACCCCACTCAGTAATTTATAGCTATAGTTAGTTATAGATATTTAGTAAAGTCTAGCAATGCTAACTCTAAAAAGTCTTGCTTAATGAAAATTAAACACTTATAGCTAGCTCCCTTGCTAACGATCTACTCTCCCTTATTTTATTATTAACTACCTTTATAGGAGATAGACTATAATTATAACATTTATATTCTAATTAATCTATTAAATACTATATAGAACTATATATAATGGGGTTATAGACAGGCGTGGCACTAAGTTTATTAAAGTAATATAATTATAACAAAGCCTTATAGCAGGAACTATAGTAAACTTATTAATGGGCTAGGTATATAGGTAAATAAGAAGTTAATAATGTAATAATAACTAGTGGAGTGGTTGCCTAATAGATTAACTCTAATTATATTCTAAGATTTACTACAAAAAGAAGAACTATCTAGGTAGGGATTATAGTCCTTTAAATACATAACCGATTATTCTTAACGGGAAGAGCACTTAAGTAGTTTAAACCTTACCTTACGGAAATGCAAGAATATAGTATAATAACCACTAACTAGGAGGTCCGGTATATATTCTTAAGTTAAAATAGGTTCGTGGAATAATTAACGCAAATATTTAGAGACCTAGAGGCAATTATAATAGTAAAAAGAAAGCTTTAAAACCTAGTATAAAGGACTTTAGCAATTAAGTATATAACGCAGTTTTAAATATTAGTAATATAGGTTAAATAGAACAATAAGGCGCTTATAGTATAGTATAAATAGGGACTTAAGGCAAAAGTCTAAAATATAATTATTCTAATAGAAGATACGGATACTCTTAGGAATTTAATTAATTAAGTAATTAAGATCGATAATAGGATCTACTAAAGAGAGCAGACTAAGAAGGGTTAGGATAGAGTTCCATAGTTATATAAGGCGCAAAATACGCAATAATAAAGTTAAAGTTAAAAACTATAGTATAGCGCAGAGCTAATAGACCTAAGTAGTACTAAAGAATTTAAAAAATAGAATAAATAATTATAGAAACCTAGAGGACAAGGATTAAGTAATTAAAGGTCTAAAAAGTAAAGGCTAAACTAGGGATCTTAATAGTAGAAGACATTTAGGCGGACTCTATAGTAAGAAAAATAGTTTAAAAAAGGAGCTTATATAAATTACGGAAAATAGGGTTATTACGTTAAAGACTATAAGAGTAGTTAGAATTATTATATAGTAAAAGAAATAAGACTAGTAGAAGATATATATATATAGAGGAATAATAGTATACTATAAGGAACAAAAGAATATTTAATTAACAGTTTTGCGTTTTGTTATAATAACGTATACTAAATTTATAAAGATGCTAAGTACGGCGTAAGCTATTGGCCATAAGAGCTAAAATTATTAGAGTTTAGAGGAACTAACAAACTAGTTTATAGATCGGATATTAAGGACAATAAGTTTAATATAGGCGAAACATTTAATAATAATAAGGTAATAAAGGCAGCTTACTAAGAGTATATAAACCTCGGAGATATTATATAAGAGGTAGAGGATAATTCTACTATAGAATAGGGAATATTAGTAGGGATTAAGACCCCACTAGATATAATATCTATCGCTTTATAAGATATAAGAGAAGTAGGATAATAGACTACTTTAGTACTTAATAAAGGCAAAAGGCTATAAGCTTAAGACTCTTAAGACGAGATATAAGATGACTAAGATTCTTAAAATAAGATAAGGTAAGCTTAAGGACCTATAATAGACAATAACCGATAGAGCAAAGTAATAGCTTAGTTTAGTAATATATAAATAAGCTTAGGACAAAGTTTCCTAAAAACATAAGACTCTTAAGACGAGATAAAAACTCTAAGTAAGCCTAGTAGGACTAAGACTAGAGCAAAGCTTAAGATAAAAGTAAGCTTAGGATTAAGAATCTTATAGGACTAAGATTTTAGCAATAGAATAAGAACTATTAAAGAAATTACGAGTAAGGCTTAGTAATAGGATTAAAGTATTAACACCAAGATTAAGCAGGGTGGTTTTGGATAATGCGAATAAGCGAGCATAAAATATCCTTTATCCAATAGAATATGTATAAATATCGCAATTAATAAGGATAAAAGTGCCCTGTGCGGAGCTTTTCTACCCCAACCAAGTAGAATAGGACTCGATTCTAGCAGAATTTAGCAGATACTGCAGATATTGCGGATATTATAGATATTGCGGATATTGCAGATATTATAGATATTGCGGATATCGCAGATATTGCGGGTACTGCGGATATTGCGGATATTATAGATAGGCGTAAGGTATTATAGGGTCCCTATCTACCTTTCCCCCTAACTATATAATAGCTATATACTTAGAGAAAAATTACCTATTTCTCTTATAGTTCTTCTTTAATGCCAATTCTTTAAACACTTTATTTTCTTAAGAGTTTTAGGAACTATCTACATTCTCTCCCATAATACTATATAACGTCCTCCTAAAAAGACTCTTTCTAGCTTATCACTTATTGCTGGAATTAAGAGAATTTTGATTGCTATAAGTGAGAGCTATGGCCAGCGTTTTCGTTACTGTTCTTAAGACCACCACTGAAGTGCAGTTATTAAAATCTTATATAGCGTCTTAGAGATAAAGTCCTTATACTCGTCCTGACTTTTTAGTCGAAACATTATACTATTAAGATCCTTGGCAATCTTATTAAACTTATTAAGGTCTTAAGCTAGAGCTAGCTTTTTGTATAATGATATACTTCTAGGCGTAGAACTCCTATTCCGATATCTTTCCTAAAGCTCTTTAACGTTGTTAAGTGCAGGCTTACGCCACTCCTTCTTCTAAACCTGCTTAATATATCTCATATAACGGGCTAGATAAAGAATAAGTGCAGCGGCGTAAAGGGGTGAGTTATCTGTTTTATGGTAATACCTATTAAAGGTATTCTAAGCATTTTTAATGCGTTTAGAGAACTCCTTATTAGATATATACTCCTTCTATTATATATTAGCTAGGAAATAAAAAGGGGAGATAGACTAACCTGGAATTTATTAAGGTGCTTAATTATAACGTCTATTATAAAAAGCATATTCTTAAGCGTTGCTTCGTGTCTTTGGCATTTTAGGGTTGCCTAGTAGAATATCTAAAGAAAGCTTTTTATTATACGAAGCGCCTCCTAGTCCTTTGGACTAAGATAGTCCTTTTTAAGCGTATTAAGGTTATACTTAGTATACGTATTAAGGGCAGACTCTTTCTAAATTACTATGCTAAGTATAAAATACTAGCTATTCTATCTTATACGATTATTAAGCGGAATTATTCTCCCTATAAGACTTTTAAACTCCCTTATACGACCAGCTAAGCTGTGGGTGTGTATGGTAATATTATAAAGCTTTCTAAGTGCGCTAAGTTTCCAAAATAAATTACTTTTCTTTTTCTCCTCTTTTAGATCTAGCTCTTTTCCTTCTTTATATAACTTAATATTATTAAGACTAATTAAGTTTTTAAAGAGGAAAGCCTATATAGCAAGGTTAAGAATATAACCCTAACAGCGGATCCGTTAGTAGACGGGATTCCATTTAATTCCTTCTTCCTAAAGAAGCCAGTCGCTTATCGTATAACAGAGCTTATTATTTATAGTATGGTTATTAAATATAACGGCACCTAGCTTTCGCGTAATCCCGTAGTCCTTAAGTACTAAAAGAAGAGTATTTTATTGCTCGTCCCTATTATAAGAGGCTACCATACAAAGGCCAAGAAGAGCGTTTGTAAGCTTTTCCTGGCTATTAATAAAATGGCCGCAAATTACAAGGAGAAGGTAATTATTTAGAGAGGTCCAGATATTAACGGAGAGATAAATACTTGTTAGTGTAGACTGCAGCCTCTTTTATATAATATTCTTTTGCGATAGCTATAAGTTATAGATCTTTTTACTAACTGTTAAATGGGCTATAGTTATATAGCCGTCTACTTTAGGATTAATTAACTATAGAAGAACATGGAACTCTGGCCACTTAACTATCCAAAATAGTAAGTTTTGTATAATAATTAATATAATAAGGGCCTTATTAATAACTTCTTTATTTAGGACCGTTTGGAGTACTTTTAAATCTAGCTCTTCTGTCTCATTTTAAGATGACGCTTTAAGGTAAAGGTCTTTTAATTAATCCCGTATTACTTCTTTCGTATAACTAGTTTTAGGCTTAACTATAATGCCATGCTTTAACGCCAAGTAATTTTAGAAGTTAGAAGTTGACTATGCAGCGTATGACTTTGTGCAGTGTTTACAATAGAATAAAAGACGGGCTTTTTTATTTCGTACGGGCTTATTACTACCTAGTGGACGGGTATGCTCCTATGTCAAAAGAGCTGAGCGACCTCTTATATTTTTTGATTTAGAGGTATTAATAGAGTTAAGAGCTTCTGATTCCACTTCTAAAGCCATATTTTATACGATAATAAAGAAGAAAAAGGCGACGAAAATTTATTTGGGGTATGCCAAGACTTATCGCGATAAGATTTATCCAAAACCACCCTAAGATTAAGAAGTAAGATAACTTTAAGAATTTATCTACGAGATGCAAACCAAAAGAAACTATAAAAGAATTTAGATAGAGAATTATTATATAGCAAGAATAGAAACTAGATAAGAGATTTAATATACTAGGTTGTATAAGGGATAGAGTATTAGTATAAAGAATTACTAATAGGCCTAGGATAGGCATACTAAGAGCTAAGTAGCTTACTAAACTAAAAAACGAAGAGGATTTAGGAATCCTTACTAGATTTAAAGAACAATATATAAAGGATTATTATAATATAGTAATAAGAAGATACTTCCTTACGG